ATGAAGATAGTGTAAGGAGCCTCTGGGACAACTTCAAGCATACCAACATCCGAATTATGGGGGTGCCAGAAGAAGAGAGAGAGCAAAATATTGAAAACCTATTTGAAGAAATAATGACAGAAAACTTCCCCTACCTGGTGAAAGAAATAGACTTCCAAGTCCAGGAAGCACAGAGAACCCCAAACAAAAGGAATCCAAAGAGGACCACACCAAGACACATCATAATTAAAATGCCAAGAGCAAAACATAAAGAGAGAATCCTAAAAGCAGCAAGAGAAAGAAAATCAGTTACCCTCAAGGGAGTACCCATATGGCTGTCAGCTGATTTCTCAACAGAAACTATGCAGGCCAGAAGGGAGTGGCAAGAAATATTCAAAATGATGAATACCAAGAACCTACAACCAAGATTACTTTACCCAGCAAAGCTATCATTCAGAATTGAAGGTCAGATAAAGAGCTTCACAGATAAGAAAAAGCGAAAGGAGTTCATCAACACCAAACAAGTATTATATGAAATGCTGAAAGGTATCCTTTAAGAAGAGGAAGAAGAAGAAAAAGGTAAAGATACAAGTTATGAACAACAAATACACATCAACAAGTGAATCTAAAAGTCAAGTGAATAAATAATCTGATGAACAGAATAAACTGGTGAATATAATAGAATCGGGGGCATAGAAAGGGAGTAGACTGACTATTCTTGGGGAGTGCGGGAAGAGACTGGACAAAAATCGTACACCTATGGGTGAGGACAGTGGGGAGGGGGGTAAGGGCAGAGGATGGGATGGGAACTGGGTGGAGGGGAGCTATGGGGGGGAAAAAGAGGAACGACTGTAATAATCTGAACAATAAAGATTTAATTTTTTTAAAAAATAAAAAATATCTACACTAATAATAGACAAATATGGTAATTGACCATACCTTCGCTATGCCTGCCATTGGCTGATCAGAGCGATATGCAAATTAACTGCCAACAAAGATGGCAGCTAATTTGCATAGTGCAGGCAGGGCAGGACAGCACGAGCCGCCACCCAGGCCCCTGTGTGCGACCTGTGGGCGGGGGCTCAGGCAAAGTGATCGCTGATCGCTTCGCCTGAGCCCTGCCCGCCCGCCAGGGACAAGGGGCCCTCTCCCCAGGGGCGGGCAGAGGCTCAGGCGAGGCGATCAGCATCACTTGTCTTCACCTGAGCCCCACCCACCCGCCGGAAACACTGGGCCCTGAGAGAGAGAGAGAGAGAGAGAGAGAGACACACACATACGGAATTTGGCACCCCGCATCCCTCCCTGATTGACCACTGTGATTCCAAGCCAGTGAGGGCTGCCTTAAGGCTGCAGCTCCAGGTCCCTCACCCACACCCCAGCCCCGAGAGCACAGTGCTGGGCAGGGGCACCCAGGGGTTCGGGAATACAGTGTGAGGGGCTGGCACAACATGGGGGGGGGGCTGTGTTTAGACCGCCAAATTCCCCACTTCTGCCCTGGCCTGCACATCCCTCCTCCTTCCCCTCAGAGGCCCAGCTCCTGCCTACATTCTTGCTGGGCAGGCCCCACTGTACCGGGGAATGAGCCATGGCGATCCGGATGGCCACTTTCTGGGATGGGACGGCCGGACCACGGCGATTCATGAGGGCGATGAGGCCCGTGGGGCATGCACAGCCCTCGGGCAGCAGGGGTGGCCAGTCAAGCCGAGTCTGGCTTCAGTGGGGCCAGTGGGAGCCCGATGCCACCCCAACCCCCACAGGTCCTGGGTGGACGGTGGCTCAGTGGAGAGCAGTGTCTCCATGCATGGTGCCCAGGGGTGGCTGTGAGCTGCTGCAACCCCCCCCCCCCCACGCTTCAGGGAGGGGAAGATGGCTCGCAGCCACCAGTACCCTTGGCTGCACTGCCTATGCCTCAGCCTACCAGGTTGGCAGGGTCCAGAGCAGGTGAGCTGCTCCCTTCCCCCAGTGATAGAACAGGGAGGAGAGCGCCGGGTGCAGGGAGGGGACCTCAGCTGGGATCCTCCTGGTGTGGGGAAGGGGCCCAGCCTGGGCCCGGTGGGGAGCTTAGGAAGTCTGGCTAAGCAGGCGCTGGTTCATACCAACTCTTACTCTGCCATCTTCCTCCAGCTCTTCAAGCTAGCCCCCCTGCCCCACCTGTCTGGGGCAACGGGCTCTGGGTGACCTCCCTGAGCTCAGACTGTGGACCCAGAGACCTCAAGGAAGAGTGCCCGGCCGGGCCTGGGCAGGGGCTGGTGCAGAACTACCAGAGCAGAGTTGCTTCGGTGTCTCGGTGAAGTTTGCAACTGACCCAAGGAGGAAACCCGAGAGGGGAAAGGCCAGGAGGCATGAATTGCCAGCACTTTAGCCACTTGAAAACAGCTCCACTTGGAATGTGAGGTGGTTGTATGTTCAGCTGAGAAGTGAGGGGGCTGAACTCCACCATCGCTGGGCTCCTGTCAGTCTGAGGCCAAAGCGTCCACGACAAGGAAAGAACAGAGCGAGGGGCCCGGTGGAAGGGAGGACAATTGAAGAAAACCATGTCTAGACTTTCCCCAGCCCTCTCCTTCTTTCTGCTGCCTACAAGAGCCCCAGGCCCGGCCACAGTTCTGTCTCTACCTTTTAGTCCCCTATTCTCCAACCACAGAGGAAAGAAATAAGGAAGGAGTCTGTGCTGCCTTCAGAAAGTACCTATATACCTGATTGGCCAGTTGCCTTCCACAGAGGGAGGCCAGAGTGCGGCTTAGGCCCGCTCCCCACAGGGACATCAGTAGGACATCCTGTGAGGGCTCCCAGACTGTTAGAGAGGGCAGGCTGGGCTGAGGGATGCCCCCTGAGTGCACAAATTTTTGTGCACCGGGCCTCTAGTATTTAAACTATTAAAGAAATTAACTCTGTCAAACATCTCTCCACATCAAAAAGTTCAGGCTCACATGGCCTCCCAATGTGTAAATATCCAAATAAATACTTATAATTCTAAATAAAATATGTTAGAGAAGAGAAAGTAAGAGAACACTCATCAGTGTATTTTAGGAGACTGGCAAAATCTTGACACTAAACACAAAGGAATGTCATGAGAAGGAAAGTGATAAGTCAACCTCACTCGTGTAACAATGCAAGAATTTCACAAAAGGCACAAGTAGGTAGAATCTAATAATACAAGACAGAGTATCGTACCATGATCAAGTTGCATTTTCTCTCCCCAAATACAAGTAGGTATGTTATTAGAAAATCAATAAGTTTATCATATTAATAACAAATAAAAATTTAAAGATGAAAATAGTCTTAAAATTATACTCATGATTTAAAAACAACTTTAAGCAAAATAAGAAAAGATTTCCTTAACATATAAAAGGGTTTCTATGAAAACATATAGCATGTTTAATGGTGAAATGTAAAAAGTTCTACCTTTTGCAATGGAAACAAAGGAAGAATGTCCATAATCATTATTTCTACTTAATGTTATACTGGAAATCTCTGCTATAGTGACAAGGAAAAGAAATAAATGGTGCAAGGAATCAAAAGAAACAAAGCTGTCATTATTTACTGATGATGTGATTATCTATACAGAAAATCCAATAGACTCAGATTAATAATTAATCGATAGTTTACAAAAATTGATGGACTTAATCATTTTATAAAAATCAATTTTATTCATCTATAACCAGCAACCAATACATACAAAATAGTTTAAAAAAATAGTACTATAATAGCATTTTAAAAATATCAAGCATCTAAGAATAGTTCTAACAACATTTTATATTAAGAAATATGCCAATTCATGATTTGGCAGATTTAATATTAATGCAAATGGCCAGGGAGAGCAAAGAAACTCTTAAAGAACACAAGAAGGAAGGGCTGTCTTATCAATTAGTAACTTATTATCACAGTGTGTAAATAAGGCAGTCTGTTATTTGAATAAGAATCTACAAGCAGGCCAAAGGAAGAGGGTAGGGACCCACATAGACCTGCGCATAAATGAATAACATATATGACAGAGGGAAAAAGAGTCTTTTCTGTGAAGGGTACTAAGACAATTGGTATGGAAAAAATAATGTGAAAATCTACTTCATACCATTAAAAAACACCTTTAAGGGATCAGAGACAAGGACCGGTCAGCGTTTAGGAGTTAACGCAGGAGGAGGCTCACACCTGGACTAGAGGATTCTGTAAACAATACAGAGTGACGACTACCCACAGAGACATTCATACATGTGACTGTGAAATGGATGACTTCTTTTTATAATTTCACCACTGGGCGAGTAAAACTTCAAGTCATAGATCAAGGAACAGTTTCAGAGAAACACAACTGAAGGAGAACTAACATGCAGAGCATACAAATAACTACATAGTGCCCACAGCCATGAGGCACTGGCCTCAGTCGTTCTTCCTTTTTCCTGCAGTCAGCACACATTTGCAGCCAGGTAACTCTAGCAGCTCATTTTGAGCCTACAGCTTTGGGAAGTCTGACAGGCTTCTCACATCTTGTCTTGTCCCTGTTCCTTTCAGTCCAAGCTGGCAATGTTTCTGCCCTTAGGACAATCTCAAAACCTTTCTGAGTCTCCTGTGTGTACCCGGGGTCCACATTATCAGACAACAGGTCCTCCACAGATTTCTCCTGGATTATACCATCCAGTCCTGGCCTCTGCTGAGACGAGTCACATGCCTAATCTCTTCGGCAAAGGCTGTCGAGCACATCCTCAATCTCTTCTCCTGGGCACACTTTTCAAAAAACAAATCTTCTAATATCAGCGTCTTTAGCAATCTGTACAGGCCACATATTTCCTGGACCATCAGTACCTAAATATTATCCCTAGGTCTACGTAAGGTTGAAAATACTCTTTTCTGAAAGCATTCAACCTGGAAAATGAGGTCTAACTAAAGATGTTGGGTAAATTAATACACATTTTAAAATGCCACAGAAAGGGTACCTGTAAGCTGATAATAAGCTCCTAAGAATTTTCTTGCAATAAAACTTCAGGGAGGGCAGCTATTGAGGAGAAGCAGCCATAGCTCTGCGCTACCCCATGGCCATGGGCCTTAAGAAGGGCCACAAGGTGACCAAGAACATGAGCAAGCTGAGGCACAGCCGCCGCCGTGGGCGCCTCACTAAGCACACCAAGTTTGTGCAGGACATGATCCGAGAGGTGTCTGGCTTTGCCCCCTATGTACGGGGAGCCATGGAGCTGCTCAAGGTCTCTAAGGACAAGAGGGCCCTGAAATTCATCAAGAAAAGGGTGGGGACACCCATCCGCGCCAAGAGAAAGAGAGAGAGGAGCTGAGCAATGTCCTTGTAGCCATGAGGAAGGCAGCAGCCAAGAAGGACTGAGCCCCACCCCTTGTCTGTGTAATAAAACCTGTTCAGGAAAAACAAAACAAAACAAAAAAAACTTCAGGGAAGTTACATTCTGAAGCAAGTTTTGTACCTGTGTCATCTGACATTTTTGATAATCCACTCAGTGTGTGAATGAGCGCAGCTCTGAGTAGAGCACGTGGTAGGTAGTCCTTTAGGCGGCAGGCTGGTTGACAGAATGAGTATGTGGGCATCTTGCTCCTTGTGTTAAAGAGAAGAGAACCCTGCCTCCTGAGGCGCTGATACCATCAGACAGAGATGCCGCATGGACAGTCCCCACGGTGCCCATTGCCCGGGGGCCGCATGTGAGAGGGAAGCGCTCTGCCCCATGAGACAGTGCTCTCAACTAGGACATTAATGCACTTCACCGCTTGCAGACAAAGGGGTGATAACTAACGAGAGAGGAACTGCATGTTCCTGACCCACTGGAACTAAATGTCCTGTAAAGAACTGGGATGGGGGAGAAACCAAGATGGCGGCATAGGTAAACACTGGAATTTGCTGCCTTGAACAACCACTTCAAACATACAACTAAAAGATGGAACGGACATCATCCAGAACCACAGGAAGGCTGGCTGAGTGGAAGTTCTACAACTAGGAGGAAAGAGAAAAGCATACCGAGACTCAGAGGAGGCGCAGTGCTGAAGTAAAATACTAAGGTGCGAAGTGCATGCGGAGCGGGCTGGCGGCTGAGGGCGTGGTTGTCGTTTTCAATTGGGAGGGAGTCTCAGGCTCTGAGCTCCAGTTCTGGGTGAGTCTCTAGGGACCCAGAATCATATGGGAGAATCGGGACTGCCTGGCATCGCTCAGAACCCTAGGGCAGCTTTCTCTCCGTGGGGCTTGCAGCGATTACTAGGACACTGAGAAGCAGAGGCTCTAAGGGCAAGACTGAGAGCAGCCATAATTGCTAACCCCGCCCTGTTGATCCTGTGGGACCCGCCGTACCCAAGCCCTGCAGGGAGACTTTTGCTGGATAGCTTCAGGCAAAGGCTAGATTAGCACCTCCCTAGAGATCCAGGAGCCAGGAAGCCCAGAGGTCAGAGTGGGACCATCCAGTTTGCAGCTCTGTGGAACCATAAAAGACACACTCAGGGGTCAGACTCAGTGAGCACCAAAGCCCCATCAAAGCAAGTCTAGCCCCAGAGGGGTGTCTCCAGCACAGAAGTTCTCCCACTGCAGACACAGCTGATTCTCACAGCCAATTGGCCTGGAGGTCAATTCCTCACAGTGATAACTACAACAATCAAGGCTTAATTAGAACAAGACTGTGCACAAAGCCCACAAGGGGGTGCACCAAGAGTGTCTACCTCACGTAATTGGGACACTTAGCACAGTAAGGCACTCTATCAACACAGGGAAGCATAAAAAATGCTGAGACAAAGAAACAGGACACAAACGACAGAATTGGAGGAAAGCAAACTTCTGGATATAGAGTTCAAAACCACACTTTTAAGGTCTTTAAAGAACTGTCTAGAAGCCGCCAATAAATTTAATTAAGTCCCTCGAAAAGACTGGTGAGACCGCCGATAAATGTAGTGAGATCCTCAAGAAGACTGGTGAAACCCTCGATGTTGTGATAAAGAACCAACTAGAAATTAAGCATACACTGACTGAAATAAAGAATATTATACAGACTCCCAACAGCAGACGAGAGGATCGCAAGAATCAAGTCAAAGATTTGAAATATGAAGAAGCAAAAAACACCCAACTGGAAAAGCAAAATGAAAAAAGAATCCGAAAATATGAAGATAATGTAAGGAGCTTCTGGGACAACTTCAAGCATACCAACATCCGAATTATGGGGGTGCCAGAAGAAGAGAGAGAGCAAGATATTGAAAACCTATTTGAAGAAATAATGACAGAAAACTTCCCCTACCTGGTGAAAGAAATAGACTTCCAAGTCCAGGAAGCGCAGAGAACCCCAAACAAAAGGAATCCAAAGAGGACCACACCAAGACACATCATAATTAAAATGCCAAGAGCAAAACACAAAGAGAGAATCCTTAAAGCAGCAAGAGAAAGAAAATCAGTTACCTACAAGGGAGTACCCATATGACTGTCAGCTGATTTCTCAACAGAAACTATGCAGGCCAGAAGGGAGTGGCAAGAAATATTCAAAGTGATGAATACCAAGAACCTACAACCAAGACTACTTTATCCAGCAAAGCTATCATTCAGAATTGAAGGCCAGATAAAGAGCTTCACAGATAAAAGCTAAAGGAGTTCATCACCACCAAACCAGTATTAAATGAAATGCTGAAGGTATCCTTTAAGAAGAGGAAGAAGAAGAAAAAGGTAAAGATACAAGTTATGAACAACAAATACACATCTATCAACAAGTGAATCTAAAAATCAAGTGAATAAATAATCTGATGAACAGTATGAACTGGTGATTGTAATAGAATCAGGGACATAGAAAGGGAATTGACTGACTATTCTTGGGGGGGAAAGGGGTGTGGGGGTGAGGGAAGAGACTGGACAATAATCGTGCACCTACGGATGAGGACAGTGGGTGAGGAGTGAGGGCGGAGGGTGGGGTGGGAGGGAACTGGGTGGAGGGGTGTTATGGTGGGAAAAAAGAGTAACTAATGTAATAATCTGAACAATAAAGATTTAATTTAAAAAAAAAAGAACTGGGATGGCTAGTCTGCTGCTGGTTGTAAGTGATACACAATCCAGGGAATGTATATGCATTTTAATTATGAAAGTAAGAGTCAAATCTTGTAATGTTTCTATTGAAAGACAAAGTAAATTATATCAGGTGATTCAAACATATTTTATTCTCCAAAGAATGTCTACTAGTATAAAACAGCCTCACTTTCTTAAATTGGAAAAACCTTTTAGGAGCGTTAGGTCAGTAGAGGAAAAAAACACACACAAAAAAACACTTTCCAGAATGTGTACTTTGCAAAACAAAAAAAATCAAAACTTGATCCTTTATTAAACTGAACGCATACTAGTGTTTAGCAAATACTAAAATGTATTATCACTCATAGTTAATGGAAATTTTGCAAAGGAAAATAACCTTGGTTGAATCAAATGTAAACTTTCATTCCCTAAAGGAGTGGGCTACACTGTCCACACTTCCTGGCTTTAATCCCTTCTGCCGAGTCTGTCCAGCTGCACCCTCAGACTGAAGGACAGAAGTGTCAGGGTAAAGTACCTGAAAGATGTTTTGGAGCCAAACAGAGGTGCAACTATAATTCTGTCTAGTAAGTCTCTCCAAGCTCGACTGAACACGTTAAATATTAAACTGTGCACTGAAACACTAGAACAAGACAGACTTACAGAAGCCTGGTACTGTCCCCATTTCATTAGCAGACTTCCAAAGAGGATGCAGAGACTAAAGGAAGGGTGTGTGTGTGTGAGTGCTGGTGCATCTACGTGTGTAACCTGCACCCTCATAACTATAAGACTCTATGTATATACACATCTGAAAGCCTTTATAGAATTTATCAAGTGAGACAGTACTTATTTCCTTCTCCTAGTATTAGGTATTGTCTAATTTTGTACTATAAATATATATACTCAAAATATAAAAAACAATAAAAATTAGTTTTAGTTTTAAAATGCTTATGTATTAATTATCAAAACTCAAATCATCTTTTTTTCCTGTTAATTTGATAAAGGAGAAAGTGCCAAGTCTCTTTATTATTTTACTGAAGGAAAAAATTGGAGACATCACATAGAAATAAAACATTTCTTCCAATGGCTTCTACCAGTGAAGGGAGAGGCCCAGATAAGAGCAGGACAGAGTTCTCCCTGGGCCTTCTGCTTCAGACGTGACATCACATAACATTGCAAAACAGATACAAGCAGCAGCAATGAAGAGAAACAAGATTAATGAAAGAATAGAAAACACCTGGAATTCCCAAGAAAAGCAGTTTGTTCCAGAAATGAGTACAGGAGATGCTGGCAGTTGGAAGAGAGTGTGAATGTGTGTGTGTGTGTGGGGCGGGGGGGGGGCGGGGGGGGGGTAACAGCTCTGTGTACAGAGCCCCAGGGACAAACTACAGCTCCACTGCTATGATATAAGTCAATGAAAGAGACATTCCTATAGATAAACTTTTAGAGATACCAGTCTATAAATAAAGATATGCCTTTCTCTCCAAATGCTTGTATGTTGTGCCTAATACTGGTACATGTTTTAGCTCACTCTTTGATACAGAAGACAGCTATTCTGGGTTCATACTTTATGAATGATTTATTAGGGCTTAATTGCTCATTCATATGAAAATTTCAATAATATATATTTAGGGTATCTATTAAAAATATTCTTTGTGGAAATATTTTTAAATGGACATCTACATTTGTTATATTAGTCTTTAAATTAAAGACATCTAATATTAACTATTTATATCCCAATCTCGAGTTAGATGGGTTATCATTTTGAAAAATTGTTCATATTAGAAGACTGCCTTACTCAGTATTTTATCTAACTTGACAGGTATATTAAATGGTCTGTGAAATATAGATAACTTTAAAATGTCAATGATTGCACTGGACCGAAGAGCACTGGAAATAAAAAGTCTACCAGCAATAAGCAAATACTATTTTGTTGGATTCAGACTGTTTTATGTTTATATCACCCAATTGTTGAAGATTATAATATCAATACATTTATACAGGATAAAGCATCAGATTTCTAGACTATTCTAACAAAACTGACTTTGCCCCCTCCTAGTATGACTTCCTACAGGATTCCTCAGGATTCACCAGAGTTACTCAGCTTAGTGTGAACAATTTCTTTCCTTCACAATGAGAAACAGATGTTAATAAACTCATATTCAATGAAACTAGACATTTGTTTTACCTTAATTCTTCAACCTACCTGATGGGAATGATGTAGGAAAAGAGGAGGAGGAACCGAAAAAGATTGCGGTACCATGGGCCTACAAAGCCTTGTAAGGTTACCATAACAACCGAGAG